AGGGTTTAGGGTTTAGGGTGCTTCTGTATCTCATGACAAGAACCTCTGCCCAATCGAAGAGCACCAAAGGCCCTGAACTCCTTGATCGATAATGTCTAAACCCAAGCGTGAACCGAAACAGAAAACAAACAAATAAAGAAAAAAGAATTAAAAAGAAAAACATCCTGGTACTAGGCCCTGAGACCCTACAGCCCTACAAATCCGTAGCAGCCCTACAACCGTCAACCCAACTTCTTAAACCCCCCGGAATAGTCCTCAACCCTGCGCCCCAAACCCTAAAAGCCCTAAACCCCCTAAATTCCTAAACCCTGAACCCTAAACCATGTCCTGATCTTCCCAGCTCACGTCCGCGAAGATCACGCACTTGCCTTCCTCCAGTGCGGATTAGGATTTAGGGTTTAGGGTTTCGGGATGATTCCCCTAAACCCTAAACCCTAAACCCTATACTGTACCTGAAGTCTGAGGGGTATGAGGAATTTCCGGCTTCTACTTGCGTAAAGGGCTATATGCGATTTTATGATAGGACGGGTGGCCAAGAGGTTTCATAAGAGTTCTGCAACAAGAGCTGTTTAATGGCACCTAATCTAGGATTTCTCATTCTGGATCTTGGCTTTTGGGCTTCGGGGGTATGGCTTAAGGCCTTAGGGCCGTGGATTTTGGTTCGCGGTTTTGGGTCTGTAACTCTCTTTACCTACAGTCAGTCTAGCAGCCATAACCTCTGAATTAGTAGGTAGAACCCTTAGGACTGTAGGTACTCTAAAGCACTAAACCCTACCTAGACCCGAAAACCCTAAAACCCTAAACCATCCTAAACCCTAATCCCTAAAGTCTAAACCCGGTCAAAGGTCGGAATAAGCAGTAATAGCATTCCGAAGTTTCCTCAGCGTGCGTAGAAAACTAGGGCCCCTTTCTGGGTCCCCAAAGTAGCACAGCACCCTTGACTTCGAAGCTCCTCCACAACACCCACAACAGCTTCCTCCATCCTAAACCCTAAACCCTA